TTGTTCTTGTTGTTGCTGTTGTTGCTGTTGCTGTTGCTGTTGCTGTTGCTGCTGCTGCTGCTGCTGCTGTTGTTGTTGTTGTTGTTGTTGTTGCTGCTGCTGCTGCTGCTGTTGGTGCGGTGGCTTACCATCGCAGAGGATCTCTTCTTGTTCATTCCTCGAATCACTGACAGCAAAAGCCACGTATTAGCAAGGCTCTACAGAGGTAGGTTTGAGCATTCTTTGTAATTTTCCTTATTACCCTTAATCCGTATCATATAAACCTTACAAAGCCACAAAGCTTTAAATATTTCTAGTGCCCCCAAACCTTCCCTAGCAGGTTTAGGATACGTGTAATTTCTACATGCCCAAACATTCAAATGTCAGAGCGGTGACCTTTCTGTATCTACATAGTCCAATAACCTATTGCATAACCAACCACTCCTGAAAAACCCTAATCCCTAAGCCTGAAATCCTAAAGCCTAAATTTAAACCCTAAGCCCACAAAACACTAGTCTCTAAGCCCTAAACCCTAGACCCTAAGCCCCAAATCCTAAATCCTACAATCCCTAAACTGCGCCCTTTGCCGAGGCCTGACTGGCAGCATTGGTATGGGCAAGAGCACGGTGTCAAAGTGGCTGCGGGAGCCATACCCGGGAGTCTTCAACGACGCGGTTTAGGGTTTAGGGGTTTAGGGGTCTAGGGTTTAGGGCTTTGGGTTTAGGGTTGAGGCCTTTAGGGCTAGGGTTTAGGGTTTAGGGCTTTGGGTCTAGGGTTTAGGGCTTTGGGTTTAGGGTTTAGGCCTTTAGGGCTAGAGTTTAGGGTTTAGGGCTTTGCGTTTAGGATTTTACGCTTTTTGGGGTAGGGTTTAGGGTTTAGAGTTTAGGGATAATGATGGATGATAATGAGGTTCAACATGGATAATGATGGGGATCATGTACGGTCTGTAAGGTGATTATACATAGGGTGTAGGGTTTAGGGGTTTAGAGTTTGGGGAAAATGGAAAAGAACATGGAAACTACTATTTCGGGCTATGATGGACAAAAAATGGATAATAATGAAATGGACGATGGGATTATGGAGTGGG